GGTGGATTTCAGTTATGAAAAGGAGCGAGGAGGAGAAGAAACGAGGCTAGATAAAAAGCTTAAGCGCTTGGTGTCATTTAAGATACTCCATATATCCGACATAGACCTAGAATCATGCTGTTACCAGGCCTACACTGACGATTAAGGGGCTAGCAACTCCTTATCTAGGCTTCCACTGCTCGGGCATTTCTTATAAAAAATGGTCCTGCTGGGCTGGCTCCACCCTGGGGCTAGCACCGCTCTAGATAACCACTAGTCTCATTCACACAACTATTTTTCTAACACTAATCTTTCTCCACTTCAGATTCTCCCTCTCGAGAACCAGATGCGCAATCCTCATCGGATGCTTGGAATTTTTGGTGTAATTTCAACGGGAGTTGGTTTTATCTGTGCGCTTTACACAGTTACGGCAATCCTTGGCTACATCACCTATGGTTCCGAACTCAAGGGCAGTATCACGCTCAACCTCTCTGATGATCCGTGAGTTTATCAGCTAGTGCATATTGAAAGCGCTTATCTAGCTGCTGTCCCAACCTGTCTTTGAAAAATCAATCTCGTTATTACATTGGATCTTTCTGACATGCAATATTGCTTCAAGTGGATAAAACGGATGGCAAGTCTTTCCGTGTACGGCAGTCTCTCTTTTCGCTTGTTGGATCTTCTTTTGTCTGTGTCCTACGTTTCCTTGGTCTGGTGAACTTGGGGAAATGGGTGGATCGCTATCCGATAAATGGGAAGCTGGATACTTAAATGACACATGGTAAATGCAGTGGTAACTGCTAAGATTCTGCCGTAGGCACAGGTTGTCGATTGGTACTGATTAGAAATTTTCTAGATAACGGCGGCTATGTATCTGGGTTCTCTTTCGTCTTGTTCGCCTTCCATTTGCAGCAAAAAAAAACATTAGCCAGAGCCCTTCCAATGTAAGAGCAAGTGACTGAGTACTCTCAAAAGTATGTTCCGATGCTCCGCAAAAAACAGTCGTCTGCGGTCTCTTTGTTTGAAGTATTGCTCCTCTGAACCACAGAGAGACCACATTCACAAAAATAAAAGATCTCTTGGGTAAGTCTATCTCTGATTCTTTTCCTTCAAACTATGAAAACGTCCTTTGAACATTAGGGCAGCCATTACGCACTAAAGAGAATCTGCGCTTTCCAAGTCTACATTGGAAAACTAAGTCCAACCTTTTTCAGCCTCGATTTCTCAGTCAAGGTGATGCTACTCCTGATGACTTACTGTGGCTATTTGATCCAGCACTATCCTATTTTCCAAACGATCTGGCCACTGATGCAACGCCGTCTCAGTACAATGCCCAAGTGTATCTCATTGATAGCAAACTACACAACTCGCTACGCTACCGTTGAGTAAGCAGGCTAGAAATCAATGTTTGACCCAGCGTGCGCGCCGCCACTCTTTTTGGATGTCACAAGGTCGACTGAAGTGGCCATCAATAGTCACACCTAATCTTCCCTAGCACATGGTGCCTCAGCCCTTTCGAAGGACGTTAAAGACAGCCCCCGCAATCGAGTAGTACATGGTCGTCCTTCCTTGTGTAAAGTAGTACACCCCCTAGCTAGAGCAATATCCACTCCCGCGGGGAAAGATCTTCAGACGAAGCGAGAACGAAGCTAACGCCGCTGAAATTCTAAAGTTCTAAGGCCCGCTCATTGACGCCCCACTTGCTAGATGGCCCTTCATGACGGAGGGCCAGCTCAGTTGTTCTTATTCTGGGGACGGCGGACATCAATAGAATGCATCTCTTTCGCTGACAGCGCTCATGCCCATGAATGATTCTGCTCTCTTTCATTACATTTTATTAATCAGGAGCAAATTTAGTCAACTCCAACACATCTCGAAAGATAAAACGCGTAAAAATCACGAGCGACCCAATTTTCGTGGTGCAAAAGCTCGACGCAGTTCACTAACCAAAAATGTCACGCCTACACCGTAACACGGCTAAACTGCGCGACGCCGGCTTTTTAAATGTTTCTTTTACTTCTCAAGAGTTTTCCTCTCCATTTTTGTTGTTTTTTGTATTCTTTTCTTCGCATTCGATGATATCCACTACTGGGAGAGAAGTGATAAGAAGTGATTTTGTGAAGCGACGGTTGCAGAGAGACCACAGGCGAAGGTGGACTGCAAGGGGCGGTGATGTTGTTTATGATAGACGTCTTTCTTCTGCTTTTTTTTTTCTTTTTCGGGGAATTACAGACTACTGTTTTCATAATTTTGAAATCATCAACTATCCATGCACTTTTGTCGCGGGAAGCTGTCTTTACGGTTTTAATCAGAATTAGTAATACTGAGCGTGCGAGTCTTTGCCGATACGGTAAAGAGTGAACCAACTTCACGCACTGAGCATGCGAGTTGCCGATACGGTAAGAGCGACAACTTCACCGAACAACCAATCAAGCTTGAAACCATCGTCGAGACTGCCACCACAGCCCACACGACCGCATCTGAGCTGTTCAGTTACCCTTACAGGTAAAGACTGGAACAATGGAAGGACCATCGCGAAATTTGTGAAACGCCAAAGCCTTCCTCTTGTTGGACACCTTGTCAGACAAACATCAAGAATATGTAATTATGTACAGCCCAACAAATTTGAATTTCTTTTCTTCGTCGCAAAGAGTTTATAAGGATGTCTATACCGTGTCTCTTAGCCTGGTCAATAGTGCAACAAAAAGTTAGGATTATTGTATTTGTTTGTAGACATTTTCCTATTCCTTTCCGTATTGAATTACTTCGTTTTAGTCCTTCTGGCATGCAGCATTCCGAATCTCGCAGAAATTATCCCAATCATCGGCGTCACCACAGGGATGCTGCTGGCTTTTGTCTTCCCGGCCGTACTCGAATCAGTCGTTTTCTGGGACCAGTGGAGAGAACGCGGCTACTTTGTTTTGATCTTGTATAATGCATTTAATGCAGTCTACATTTTAGCGGGTATATTTTTCCTCGTGTTAGGAGTATATGCGAACGTGGAACATATCATAAATTCGTAGCATGCTCGAACTGTAATTTTTACTTAATTGGAGTTGTAACAAGCCACCCTCCTGCTATAAGATACACTAGACGCTTACCTGCAAGATGGATCTTTACCATGTGCGAGTGTCCAGGTCCGCAGCTGTAGAATTGTGTCACTTTATCACTCAGAAGTGCGTAGTGAAGCCGGAAAGATGTCATGGATGATTGCTCTTTGAGACTTGTTCAACACTGTTGAAAATGAGCAGTTAGAGGTAGGAAGCAACTTATCGCAAAGAAGCGGCGTGTTTGGCTATGAGCAGGATACTTGAAGGTAAGCGTACACAGTATCTTTAAGCAGTCGTTGTTGGAGGTCTTGTTGACTTGAATGTATCATAAGATTGTAAATAAAAAGCGTTTGCTCTGCAGAAGTATTTTTTCATGAGCTGGTCTCTCTTCCTTTTTCTAGATTCTATTCAGATAGGATGAGCATGCGGTTCGCTTCATTTCATGCGCTGCGGGAAGGACCGTGCCAGAGTTTCCCGGCACAGGAAAATACTGAAGGGTAAATGGAATCTCAAATTCCGTCAGTGATCGAAGATCTGTGTCGTTCCACATTTGCCATAGAATATCACAAGTGAAAGCGTCAGCGAACACGTCATTTCATACGTTTTGGATACTAATTCATGCACGCCACGCTGTTTTGTGATGATAGCTGCACCTAAGTGATTCCTCACCAATGTTGTGCGCTACAGAACATCAGGAAAGCTCTTGTGACCGTCAACCTCCTTCAAAAGAGCTCTTTATTCGGGATGAGGTGCCTTGCGCTTGGACTTCAAGTGATCACGGTCTACTGGACCACAAGAGCTCGTGAAAAGGATGATGGAGATAACAGGGACACTAACCCAACTAGCTTCAAGAATAATTAGTTCAACTGCGATGCAGTCAGTGTTGATTATTGTGGTGGTTCAGAGGATTTGTCTTTACGCCCCGAAGGTCAAGCGGCAACAAATAGCATTATGAATTTTATAATATGTTTATGAAATAAATGAATGAAAATGATTGGAAAGGAACTTGGGTCTTGATTACGACGGTAGAGGACGAGTTGTGAGTAAATGCACAGTTTTAGTAGGGACGTGGAAGAGGCAGAGTTAATGGCAGCCGTGACCATTCATGATGACAGGGGGAGAGTCGTTCCGCTCCGCTCCAGACGCTGAGAGAGAGAGGGTTAGGATGCAAACGACGATAATTAGGTGCAAGCTTCAATGCAGATGCTTGTTATCCTCTGAAAAGCCTCAATAGTATCAGTCGCAAATCTGTGCAGTCCCAGAGCCTCATTCGAGTCTAAATGTAAAAACGGGAAGAAGCATCAAGAAGATTCACAGCTAACGACTTCAATGATCAGAAAAGATTTTGCTGAATGATTTTTTCTCACAACTGTCACAATTGAATACTGAGCACGGACTACGTGACGTTCTATTGGCTACATGACTTTTGTCAAGTGTAAGTGAAATCATATGCAACGAAAACCACTACGCGTCCGCTAGTACTTAAGGGGTGCGAACATTATTTCCCAGTCGCGGCAAAACAGGCACTGCAAGCATTGTCACGTACGAATCCCATCTGACTCTTACTGCAGTTCTGCTACTGAAAAGTAACGCTCCACACCTACAATTCAAAGACAAACTGTACACTCACATGCGACTGTCCTTGCGAGATGAAGGGTCAGCATCTGCAGTAGCATGGCACTTCACTGTTCAAAAGTAGACGGAAGGGTGGCAGTGAGGTAATACCATCCAACTGTGGTCTTTATCTTCGTCTGCGCTATTCTCAAGCTCCCCAATGCCTCGATACCAAGGATACTGTGATCGAAACACGTACTCAGTGGTAGAGAACATCTAGAAACGAGATGGTGCACACACGTCGTGCGCTCGGCTGTGGTTGGGCAGTGTTCAGATTTCGCGACGACAGCGCTTCGGTGCGATCAATGCGCATGCTCTTCGATTGCATCGATCGCGTCGAACGCGCGACCAGAGGCTGCCGTCGCGAAGTCTGAACGCTGCCTTAGGCGTGTTGGCCGGCCATGCGGCTGCGGTGATGGTGTAGGACGAGAGGAACATTGCCCTGCAGCCTTGCTCTCATGCTTACTTGAGGGGAGGAAGTGGCGCGCTACTGTAGGTGCTAACCTATTCATTCACACATGGAAATGACCACGATCTGCGAGGGTGGGGACAGTATACCTTTGAAGGACAATTTTCTCCACAGTAAGTCACCATGTGATGTATGGGAAACTGTCGTTACGAAAGAGCTCTCATAAAAGGAAGTGCCTATCTAAAATTCAGAGATCCACGATAGCGATTTTATCTTGGAATATGAAATGAGCAGGCAATGCCGCGCATTTGAGACAATAGTTCCTCGTGCCAAACCAGGTCTCATGCTTTCATTCGCGTTAGACATTTTCCATTGGGAAATTTTCTGGAAAAATTCTGGGTAATTTTCCTGCTTGAAAATAGTTTTCTTTGTGCTGCTGGCTCGAATATTTTGATGAGTTTTTGTATATGGACGAGATGAGATAAAGTGGAGAAAAAACTAAGGAAAGGAATGACACTGATCACGACACTTCGATACTGAATACACCAATGGTTTTTTCACAAAATTAACGTCATATGATTGGCGAGAAATTTTGAAACTACTGTTGTTTCTGACATTTTTGCGCCTGATCATCCACGTTTCTGCTTTGCAGAATTTTGTCATATTAAAAAATGACGCATGTTCTTCGAATCCGAGATTTTTTGTTGCAACGCACGCGCGAGCGCTAAGGACAGAGGCAGCATTGGCGCACTGAATGAGGCTGCCGGAAATTCGGAGCATGAAGGGCTAAGGTTAGCGTTCCGATGTGCACGTCGCAGCAAGTTGGTTTGTAGCTAGAGCGAACAAGGTTAAAGGTAAGTCCTCCTTGACTGCTTTGACAGGAAACAACTCGTGCTAGGAGCGTATCAGTCAGGTCACTGCTTGGACCACAGCTACTCTTAGAAAACCTTCGGGAGGATCGGTTTTGCATTGTGAGGGACTGTATCGACAAACAAGGTCTGAAGAAGCTGGATTGCTGGAAAAGAAGGGGTCCAGTAAGGCTAATCGCCCGCCCTTCTCATCAGCTCATCTTTTGTTCGATGGAAAAGACACTGCTTCTACCTCTTTTTTGCTCTGAAATGTAGGGGCAATCACCGAAGCTTCAAGTCGACTGGCTCATAGCCAACGTTACGGCTTTAGGGAGATGTTCAATTAGGCAGTCTGCCGATAGCGAGCACGATTCGCGGGTCATATCTCGAAACGTCTTTGACTAGGCAAGCAGACTTACTGTCGCTCCAGGTCCAGCTGTTCGGTAGCTATGTCCTCTACAAGGATAAAGCAACACTGATCTTTGCGTCGTCTGGCCCCGCCGTTCGTTTTGTACGAACCAACGCACTCAACATAGCGCTATGATTACGAAGGAGACGAGAACAATGGAAGGCTTCCCGAACGCGAACCTCGAAAGCTTTCTGCTTCGCTTATTGCAAAGACACAGCTATAGCCAGCTATTCACGACTTCGCACTCTCATGGTCAGAAGATCTCAGCGAGTCATTCCTCAGCAACAATCACAGAAAGTGTGGTGGAAACAGTTGGAGCGGTAAGGTTCATTTGGTGCGATGGCCTAGGAGGAATCAGGTGAAAGAGAGGCCGTTTCCTCCATTGTTCCACTTACGGCTCTTCCTAATCATCACTCAGTTTACCAGGTGAGTAACTTCACAGGCTCAATGACATCTATCCAGCCACCTGAGATGAGCAGCTGACCAGCACTTCGTGAGATCAGGCTTTTTCAGATTTTCTTGGCACGTGCAGGATTTTTCACATATCGGAAAGGAGCGAACTGCAATCAATGATCGGGTAATATAAACTGTTTTTTTGGGAGAGCTCTACTTGCTCTTGCTCTAACTAGTGAAGCTAGCCATGCCATGTTCTGGTGCGGCAAAGTCACACCATGCTCTCTGGGTGAGAGAGTGCAGACGAGTGGACATGACGCACCCCTCCCAAAGCACGAAAGACCATCTCTGGGTTACCTTGAAGAGTTGAGAGGTTTTCTGCAACGGGACATTCTGCCGTGAACGGGGAAATGTGCGGAGATTAATAACAGGGAGCAGCAGTGAAGAAGGCATGATCCTCACGCTCCCCACTCATTTCTGCCCCAACCGGTTGCCGTGGAAGGTGTATCTGAACCGCCCGCTATGTGCGAGTGCTTTGACATGAAAGTCGAATGGTTGCTGTTAACAAGACCCATTTTTCTCTGACTCAGCTGATGGGGTGGTCGAGGATAAGAGAGCGGTTTGCTACCGATAGAACTGGGCGTGCAGGCAGAGCTGCCTCGAGAGAATTATTCGCTGTGTGTATCTGTCAGACTACCAAACAGGATGAAGGACAATGTTTTCGCCATCGATCATCCTCTTGCTGAGATGCGACACGCATCCTGTTGGGGGGGGGTAGTCTACTAGGGCAACATCGCATTCAAAGTCCGCTGCTACTGAACATACCAAATATCGAGCTAATAATTTAGGTTCCTTAATTAGACTAATTTAGGACGGCGTATGCATGGTTCAACCTGATGAACGCCATGATGGGTGTGGGCGCGTTTGCTCTTCCCGTCGCATTCAAGCAATCTGGGCTCTGGGTAAGTCAGAGTGTTTTTTACGTAATTAGGGATACTATCTTCAAAAAACAGCGCCCGTGATAGCCTTTCCCAGGTCGTAGGGCTTTGGATCATTAGGTCATATGCTAAGTGGAAATTAACGAAAAATAACGCAAAATCAATCGTCACAAAGGTCCAAAATAGGAGCCATTTTGGCTCTGAACCTTGTATGAGCACAGCAAACAGAGGACTGAGTGTAGAAAAGAGAAGCAGAAAGATCGTGGTAAGGCTAAAGAGTATGCAAATGAGTTCCTCCGATAGGTAGCGATGATAGGGCAAAATGATTAAGGAGGATGCAGACCGCGAAGGCGGAGTAAAGTTGTGATCGTTGAGCAGTCGTGCTTTTATTGAGCGCTTTTGAGTCGCGAAAGTAGGGCATCTCGGTGATTGTGGACATCTTATACACCAAAGGTCTGCACTGTGGTCAGTTGGAGCGTGATCTTCAAAGCAAAGTTGACTAGCATTGAACCACCCAGTTGCTTAGGCTGCATAACAGGGATGACGCTTCAGCGCAACCAGCAACTGCTAAAAGTGTAATCCCTATTCCTTCCTGAAGATTCAACACTCTGTCTGACAGTAGTAACCCGAATGCAAGCACTTCTCCAGAGATCCGAATGCGGTCCCCATTGAAGACTTCTTCACCACGACACCGTGGTGGACTAGGTCCAGAGAAGCGGCAGTGAAAGGTCGCCCTTCTTCCTGCAGCGCACGATACGCCCTATCACGTAGCGGAATGGTAATGCTGCGTTTATACTTTGCGGCAGCGTAGCGTAGCGCTTCCAGCGTACGCCAGCGGCAGTGTCGGGGAAAGGATAGATATCGATCTAGCGTTCCCAGCGTCACCAGCGTACGCTAGCGTACGCCAGCGCACGCTAGCGTAGCGAGGGCACGGGAAGCATAGCTATCGATCTAGCGCTCCCAGAGCGTTTCACTAGCGTTTCGCTAGCGTTTGCAGCGGCGGGGCTAGAGAGTATAGAAGAGTAGGAGAGTACAAAATACTCTCCTACTCTTCTATACTCTCTAGCCCGCCGCTGGCAAAGCTAGCGGGGCTAGAGAGTATAGAAGAGTAGGGAGTACAAAATACTCTCCTACTCTTCTATACTCTCTAGCCCGCCGCTGGCAAAGCTAGCGGGGCTAGAGAGTATAGAAGAGTAGGGAGTACAAAATACTCTCCTACTCTTCTATACTCTCTAGCCCGCCGCT